CGTGGGAGGATCTGGCCCAGGAGATGGGGAAGGAGATGAAGGCACTGACTACATTTTTTGAGAGCATCCATACCAAGATAGGGAAACTCAGGAGGAAGAAGAGTGGTCAGGCATCTTTTGAGATGACAGACTGCTAACAGTGGATATGGACCAGATTCCAGTTCCTGATGTCCCACATCGGACATGTCACCCAACGCATAGTCTAGCGCTTCCGGAGTGGCACCACCACCAGCCAGTGTGATGAGTTCCAGGAAGAGGAGCCACAGTATCCAGTGACAGCTACACCGCCTACCACCACTTCCGGGAGAACGAGTGTGGCCGTGTCCAGCACCAGCGGATCCAGAGGCAAAATAATGGGGGTCGAAACCTTAGACCAGGACCGTCAGGAGAAGCTGTTACAGATCCTGCAAGCGCCTTCTGTGCCTGAGGTCTCCCATCCAGAGAGGTTAAAGTTCGAGTACCTCGGGCATGCTTTGCAGAACCTGCCCCAGTCAATCTACCGTGACGCACAGATGGCCATGTTTGACCTTCTGTTCAACGCTGAGAAGCAGACAGATCTGGACCAGCACCAGCACCTCCTCAACTGTACCAGTAGTGGCAGCGAGACCCCTCGCAGTGGCAGTGCAGACCGGTTGCCCCAGCTGGGTCGGTGTGGCACTCACAGGAACCAACCTGGGTCGACAGGCAGTTCCCAGGATACACAGCCAGTCTCCAAGCCAACAGGAACTGCCCCGTCAAAGGTCATCACAGACAGCTACCTTCACTAACCTGGTGCCTCCTGCCCAGCGCCAGCAGCCCAGGTCGTCCTCCAGTGCCCCGGAGCATCAGCAGGAAGCGTCATTCAACCTGTCTGAGATACCGATGGACATCAGCCCCACAGCAGTTGCCCCTCGGGTCACAGATCTCGACGGCAACCGCTCAGCTTGACAGGTCCACACTCTCCACTCCATAGACTGTGTGTTTAGCTGTGTACATCTTAGACTGTGTGCTTTTAGCTGGGTGCTCTTAGTGATATGATAAAAGTTCCTCTCAAAGAGTTTATGTTTTTGTTTGATATGATATGATTATGATATGAATGTACTTAGATAAGCATTTCTATCTTTCAGTTTCATATAATACCAATAAAACGTTGTTTGCATGGTCCGAGCAGAGATATTGAGAGATGGATTGGGGCAATGTGAAGATTGCAAAAACAAAACATTCATGACATAAAGCCGAAATTCTAATGAAGTGAAGGAGGGAGCTGTTGTGCCAGTAGTCAGTAGAGCAATACAAGTCCTCAACGGTCTTGGAACTGCTGGGCAATGTCTTTCTAGTCCTCCTGGGTCCTTGGTAGTGACATGACTTCATCCTTCAGCTCCTGTATGATTCCTGCACAATCCATACCACTGTGCTGTAACCACACCGGAAGTCAAACTGGATGGTGTGATACCGGTCTCCTGTAGCCAGGTGTCTGAGAGTCATGGCTAGCTTCATTCCGGCATCTAGGGCTGGTCTCATGTGGGTGTCCCTCCTCTGGATGACTAGGCTAATCCTGTTGAGCAGTTCATCAAACATGTGGGGTGGCATTCTCACATAGTTGGCAAATGCATTCTCATCTTCCATCCTCAGCTCTTGCATCAGTCTGTTGTAGTGACTATATTCTAGTCTTCTATCTGGTGTCAGCCACGGTCTAACCCACCACCTGGGTGCTCTTCTCCTCCTCCTTCGAAACAGTCGTCTTATAGTGATCAGCAACTGGTGTTGATACTCCAGTTCCAGGGCCAATACGATAGCTGCTCTACGTTGAACATCCATTTTGGAACTGATACCCAAACAAGGGTGACGACCCTTTTATACCTATGTCCCACGAATTGTCAAGAGTAGTCACGAATTCACTTATTCGTACCCGATTCGTACGTGCATTCGGCCTATACTTAACTGATTCGTAACTGATTCCTAATATTCGGGCAGTATTCGTAATAGATTCTTGTAAATCGTAGTGAATTCGTGACAATATTCGTGCGATTCCAGCCGAATCCCACGAATATTCGTACCCGTATCGTACCTGTATCGTAAATGAATCGTAGAGCTTCACGAATGGACGCAGAAAAGTTGTACAATTATTACGAATCAGCACGAATTCTCACGAATCCTCACATTTATCGATTCGTGGGATTCGTGGTCTGTGTGGAATAGGGGCATTACTGCACTCAATCACCAGCGCATCCGACCGTAATCTTGTAATATTCTTCACATCGCCGACAATGCCTTGGATACTCTTAGACACAGCGAAAGGGTTAAACTTAAATGGCGTGTTATCTTTGGTCTAAACGACAACAAAACGTGGCCAGTAATTAATTGATTTGGGCAGTATGAGGTCGTTATCAGCAGGATCATTGTCAAGCGGACGTTTGGATTTTTTTGTGGGGGTTTAATAAGCCATTGTTAGTGTTAAGATTTCTTCAGGCACCCTTGAAGAGCAACCTCCCCTTGCAGGGTGCTGGTTAACGCTCATAGCTCTTCATCCCCCGTGTTGATCCGGGGACATATAGATCCACAGCACCCCACTGCTGGTCGTAAGACCGAATCGGGCAACCTGTTTGCCTTGGGTTGCGCCCCTGCGTCGGTGGAGTTTCTTAGTCGCTATATGGCTGGAATACTGGTGACTTTAAATACTCACTCACTCAGATTTCATCATCCGAGCTCCCTACCCTCCACTGAGTATCACAAAGACTTTGTGTATTTAAAGCACCTTGGAGGATTGTACGTGACAACATTGACGTATAAATGGTCTGTTCACTATGACCTTTGTGGAAGCGATCACTTCCTTACTTTCCTGAAAGCTATAAAACCAGATGATAATCCACCTTCATCAAGGTGGAATTTCACGAAGGCAAATTGGCCTGTATATGAACAATTATGTGTTGAACAATTAACACCTGACCACTTCAATAATGTACCAGATCCCATCCAGCTGATTTCAACACAACCGAAAGAAATTGCTGATCAAACAATTCCTAAGTCCTCTGCAACTCCTCATATTCGTAAACCATGGTTAACTGACGAATGCAAACAAGCACGAAAACGTAGGAAGAAAGCGGAAAAATATTTTCGCAGATATCCCACAGTTCACAACTTTAACAATATTAAAATTTCTAGTGCCAAGGCACGACGTACGTATAAGCAAAACAAGCGCCATTCTTGGAGAAACTAAGTCTCAAAAATTAATTCACGCACGCCAATGTCTAAGGTGTGGAACATGGTACAGCGAATAAAAGGCAAAGGCTCAAAATCTGCGGTTAACCATCTTAAAGATGGTGACAAATTAATAACTAACAAATCTGACATTGCAAATAAAATTGGCGAAACTCCTGCCAAAATTCTTCATCGGCAAATTATGTCCCTGAATTTCAGAGATATCAGAAACAACAGGAAAAGACTAAAGTTAATTTTGATTCCAATAACGGTGAAGACTATAATGAAGTGTTTTCATTACATGAGCTCCACACTGCTCTTGACCAAACTCATGATACTGCAGCGGGTGATGACCTTATTCATTATCAGCTACTGAAACACTTTCCTGAATCATGTCTGGAGACACTTTTAGATATATTTGACAAAATAGACGTCTGGACTTTTTCCTCCTTCGTGGCGGAATGCAATTTTAGTGCCAATACCAAAACCTGGCCTGGATCACACAGATCCATCAAATTACAGACCAATTTCTTTAACCAGCTGCGTCTGTAAAATCATGGAACGAATGTGTTTTGTATTGCGCTGGCGTGGATTAACAACATGACACGATAATGAGCTCCTCAACTTCGGCGGCATAACCACATGGCGAGATAAACACATACTGCGCATGCATGGTTCCAAAAACTTATACAGGCAAATTCTTACGAACTGTTGTCAAATGTAGGAGTTTAACCGAAACGAATATCTTACATCCCCTCTTTATTATAAGCTCAGCCACTAACCAAAGAACAAATTATAGAAGCCCATTCCGTGATGGCTCAAAGCAGCTGACTGTTAAACATTGTCTTAACTACAAATAAAAAGTCACTTCAATGAAACAAAGTTCTTGCAGGTATACTGCCACAGTTTTGTTTTTAAAGTCATTCAAATCTTGATGGCTTAAAGATTGCCCGTCCTCTGGATGAATAGGCAATTGGTTGTCTAAGGTCCACTGGGACCATAGGCTGAACTCCTGACTGTGGTGTACTGTCCACATGTGTTGACCCGGTTGGAATATCGTTGCTTTTAGCAGCCAGATGATCTCCTGGTACACTGGAGATAATCTCATTGGTGGAATGCAAGTCTCTTTTGTTGCGACGGTACTCTGTACCATCATCAGTCTTGACATGGTATGAACGAGGTGTGTTGGCGTAACCCGTCACGACACCTGGTATCCAATCCTTGCCTTGCCTTACTCTCACACTGTCATGTGTACTTAATGCAGGCCTCGGATGTGAAGATCTGTCATAGTAATGCTTTTGACGCATTTTAGAATCCACCATTGCCTCATGCACACTTTCACAGCTGTTGACTTTTGGCTTCAGTAAATCTGGATGACTGGGTAAGTCAGTTCTGAGACGTCTTGACATAAGTAGCTGGGCAGGAGAAGATCCCATCTCACTTAATGGGATGTTGCGATAAGCAAGTAAAGACCAATAAGGATCACCACCACTCTGCTTAGCTTTAAGCAGTAGTCGTTTCACAGTCTGTACAGACTTCTCAGCTAGACCATTTGCTTGTGGATACAAGGGTGAGGAGGCAATATGTTCAATGTTCCACTTTTGAACAAATTCTCTGAATTCCTCTGATGCATACTGTGGCCCATTATCAGAGACAATTCTGCTCGGTACACCATGCCGTGCAAACATCGACTTCATGTGAGTAATCACAGTCTTCGACTTTGTGTTTGACAGCAAAGCAATCTCTATATATCGACTCTAGTAATCAACTACAAGCAGATAGTCAAGTCCATTCAACTGGAACAAATCAGTTGCTACGAACTGCTATGGTAACTTAGGAACTTCACTGGGTGTCATCGGTTCCTTGCACTGTTTCATCCTGTTCTGCTGACAAGTGCCACAATTATCAACAGTTCTCTCAATGTCAGCTGTCATACGCGGCCAGAATATGTCATCACGAGCTCTTTCTTTGCACTTGACAATTCCCATATGGCCTGTATGTATCCTCTCTAACATCTCCTTTCTCATGGAAATAGGAATAACAATTTTGTCACCCTTGTAGACAATTCCATCTATAACTGTCAATTCATCACGGAAAGTCCAAAATTCCTTGATACTGCTTGGACAATCATGCAAATTCTGAGGCCATCCGTTCATGATTATCTTCATAAGCATCAAATGTTGACTATCCTCACTACTTTCCTTTCTGATCTCTTTCATCTTCTTGTCAGATACTGGTAAGTTGCTTGTCACCATGTGCACATATGACTGGATATCTTCATCAAGAGACAGGTCATCTTTGTTTGACGAAGACTCTATGAAATGCCGAGACAGCATGTCTGCTACAGGAACATCCTTCCCAGGTGTGAACTCTACATCTGCATCATAGATCTGAAGTCTCATTCTGGAACGTTGAAGTCTCACGGGAATAGCATGTAATGGCTTCTTGAAAACAACTTCTAGTGGTTTATGATCGGTTCTGACTTTGAAATTTCTCCCAAACAGATAGTAGTGAAATTTTTCATAACCAAATAGAACGGCAAGCATCTCCTTTTCTATTTGGGCATAGTTCCTCTGCGAGTTAGTCATTGCCTTCGACGCGAAAGCAACTGGTCCCTTATCCTGAAATCTGACTGCCCCTACACCATTCTGTGATGCGTCCGTCTCAAGAGTCACTGACGTCTTTGGGTCAAAGTACTGTAAAATAGGCCCTGGTGACTTAGTGATCATATTCTTGATTTCTTGAAATGTTGCTTCATGTTCCGGAGTCCAACAGAACAAAGTATCTTGCTTTTTTTTAGTTCACGTAGTATGTGTGTCTTCTCTGACAAACTTGGAGCATATTGTGCCAGACGACTATCATGTTCAGCTGTCGTGCTACCTGAGATCAAAATGTCATCAACAATAGGGTGAGTATGCTCCAAACCCTCAAAAGCACTATCCATTCTCTTTTGAAAGATCTCGCTTGCACTTTTGATGCCAAAAGGTAATCTCATAAATCGATATCGTCCGAATAGAGTATTGAATGTTGTCCGTAGGAACAACTGGGAGTCTAGTGGTACTTGCCAGAAAGGCATCTGACACTGTAAAATACTTCTGTCCGACCAACTTTTGTGTTATGTCTTGCAGAGTTGGCATTTTATAATGTTCACGCTTCACCACTTTATTCAAGTCAGTAGGATCCAAGCAAAGTCTAATTTCACCATTTGACTTAGGTGCAGCCACCATTGAGTTTACCCAACTGGTTGGTTCATCTACCTTACATATCACCCCTAAATCCTCCATTCTTTGTAATTCTTTGTGAATGTTTTTATCCAAAGCTAAAGGACCCCTTCGTACAGCATGTACAACTGGTACTGCATTTTCCTCAATCTTTATGCAATATTCATCTTCGATACATCCAATCCCTTGGAATACATCCTTGAATTCTTTAAGAATCTCCCTTGAAGCTGATTCACAATCTGGAGAGTTTGTGATTGTCAACACAACCTGTATCAAGCCCATCTCTCTACAAGCTTTGAGTCCCAATACTGGAGGTGAGTGTACATCGTCATGATCCACCACGATGAAATCAAAGCTCTTCGACACTTCCTTGTATTGACATTGTAATGTTGTCAGTCCTAAGATCCTCAGTGGAACACCACCATAACCAAAAAGTCTGGTCTGAGTTGGACGCAGCGGACCTGCTCTGCTACGAACTATGTGAAACTCATCATCTGATGAGACATTCACTTGGGCACCTGAATCAAGCTTCATGTTTATTTCCGCACTGCCATTTACAGTCATTGGCACAAAAATCTCATCTTTATTTACTTCTTGACTTTTCTCTACAGACCCAATAAAGAAATCCTCAGTAGACTGTTCAATTCCATGAACTCTGTTTGTTGGAGCATTTCCACTATTCCCGTGACCTTGGTATCTTCCACGACTATGTCTGGAGCGAACATTTCCTCCTTTGGAGAATGTCTATTGTCACTTTTACAGACTGATGCAAAATGTCCTATTTTATGACATTTCAAACATGCCCTCCCAACTGCTGGACATGATTCCTGACATGAATGAAATTTTCCACACATTTGACAAGTCTGATTCACTTTACCTTTATCATGTTTGTGGTTGCCATGGTTACCAAAACTGTGTTTGTTAAATCTCTGAACACCATGTACATCGCACTGCATCTCCTTCATCTGTTCTTTACTCATTTCGAAACTTCTTGCTAAGTCTCTTGCCTTTTGCAGTGTTAAATCTGCCTCTTGCAGCAGTCGTTCTTGAACCTGTTTATCCTTCGTTCCGCATTTTATCCGATCTCGAATCATCTCATTCTCAATTTCACCAAAAGCACAGTGTCTGCTAAATTCTTCAGTTCTGTCACATACTGATCTACACCTTCGCTCTGTTGTTGATTTCTTGAATAAAAACGGAATTCCATAACTGTTGTGTTTTGTTGCGGTACGCAATGTTGCTCAAACTTGTCAAACAACACATCAATTTTGTCAGTTTCGTCCGCGGTCAAAGTCCACGTATTGAATATATCTCTTCCTGTTTGTCCAATATGCAATAAAAAATACGCACACTTCTGCTTGTCATTTTGCCTGACAGTGGTCCTGTCAACAACAACTTCATCGTCTGCTGCCATCTCCGCCATGCCTCGCCGACCTTCACTCGAAGTCCATCAGGGGAATTTCGATCTTCGCCGACATTTTTTGACTGAACTACTATTCCACAGGACGTGAAACGATGTCTGGTAGTTGTGAGCCTTCACTGCTGACACCATGTTTTGTATTGCGCTGGCGTGGATTAACAACGTGACACGATAATGAGCTCCTCTCAACTGTATTCAACTTCGGCGGCATAACCACATGGCGAGATACACACACACTGCGCATGCGTGGTTCCAAAAACTTATACAGGCAAATTCTTACGAACTGTTATCAAATGTAGGAGTTTAACCGAAACGAATATCTTACAGAATGGTAAATAACAGATTAATTTGGTATCTGGAAACCAATAACCTCATTACAAATATTCAGTGTGGTTTTCGGAAGAATAGAAGTACCATTGATCATTTAGTACGTTTAGAATCCTTTGTAAAAAATGCTATTATCACCAAACAACATGCAGTATCTATATTCTTTGATCTTCAGAAAGCATATGATACAACTTGGAAGCATGGAATTTTAAAGGATTAACATGATTTTGGTTTGCGAGGTCGTTTGCCTCTTTTTATATCACAATTTGTAACCGACAGGCAATTTCAAGTCCGAGTGGGTTCAACCCTGTCTGATCATTACAATCAAGATCAGGGTGTCCCACAAGGCAGTATTTTGTCTGTCACGCTATTTAGTATTAAATTAAATTGTCTTTCAAAGGTTTTAAGTGATTCAATCGACGGATCCCTTTTCGTGGATGATTTTAATATTTCTGGCCGTGGTAAAAATATGCGAACTATTGAGAGACAATTACAACATTGTCTCAACAAAATTTATAAATGGTGTCTGGAAAACGGGTTTAAATTTTCGAAATCCATCACCAATTGTATACATTTTTGTAGGAAATACAAACCCCATAAAGACCCTGAATTATCCTTAAATGGCACACCCATCAAAGTTGTCAAGGAAGCTAAATTCCTTGGTCTCATCTTTGACTTGCATTTAACTTTTCTGCCACATATCAAATATCTAAAAGCCAAATGCCTGAAGGCACTCGACTTGCGGAAAGTCGTTTCCAGTTCAAAGTGGGGAGGGGACCAAACTACTCTCCTTCATTTGTATAGATCACTGGTCCGAACAAAACTTGATTACGGCTCTTATATGGAGGGGCCTGTAAAAGCAACCTCTAACTACTTGGTTCTATCCATCACCATGGTCTAAGACTTTGTCTTGGGTCTTTCAGAACCTCTCCCATTGACAGTCTCTACGTTGAGGCCGATGAGCCATCTTTAAAACTTCGCCGTATCAAATTGTCCCTACAATATATCACAAACTTATATTCTAATGAATCCAATTCTGCTCACAATTGTGTTTTTAATCCTGTTTATGAGGATTTGTATAATAAAAAACCCTCACTTGTTCCACCTCTTGGGATAAGAATCCAACAATATATTTTTGCTGCTGTGATTGAGTTGGAGAATATATCTCCTTCTCGTCTTCTTTCTTCTCCTCCATGGCAATTAGTGAGGCCACAAGTTCACCTAACACTGACAAAGTTTAAGAAATTAGTAGCTAACGAATTACAATATAAACTAGAATTAAACAATTAAAAAGTAAATATAATACATATAAATCCTTCTTTACAGATGGGTCTAAGGATGTTGGCGCGGTTGCTTGTGCCACTGTCATTGGATCCAGAACAATCTCTTCTCGACTACCAGATAACAGCTCTATTTTCACAGCAGAAGCTAATGCCAAATTAACAGCTCTTAAATATATTAATAAACACCGTAAATATAAACAATATATACTATTTTCAGATTCTCTTTCGTGTCTACAGGCTATTAAAAATCTTTCTTGTAAACATCCTCTTTTATTAGAAATTATTAAATTGTATAATGAGCTTGCTACTGGCCAGTGCGACATCGTCTTGTGTTGGTTACCCAGCCACGTTGGCATTTCTGGGAACACAATGGCTGATTTTGCTGCCAAGGCAGCACTAAATAAATCTGTGACACCACTTCTTATTCCATATTCTGATTACAAAGCTGGCATTAGAACTTACATCCGTGATCTGATGCAGAAGAAGTGGGACACCCAAGTGGGTATTAATGAACTACATGCGCGGTGGGCAAGCTAGCTAAGGCGCCAGGCTAGTGATCCAGCGAGGTTGAGGTGTCGGGATCGAGCCCGCCTGTGACCGGGTGTAAAAACCTTGGAGTCAACTTTGTGTGCAGACTCTTTCAGTGTTGTCACAACCCCTAGTGTACAGTACACAACCCTGTGCACTTAAAAGAACCAACGAATCCGTTGGTATTTGACCAGATGGTGGCCACATGAATACGTGCAAACACCTAGTTGCGGGTACAGCAACGTGCAGTGAACATGGACAAAGTACTGTGACTATGTGTCCCAGTCCACCCAGCTGTGAATGGGTACCTCGTTAGGATGAGAAAGCCACAATAACTCGGTGCGCCTAGTGGCTGCAAGAGTTGTATACTCCCCAGGGAGTTGAGATTGATAATGCGATGTGCCGTTGAGATTGACATCTAATGAGCGAGGGAAAAAATACCAGCGCCTTGAGCATGCACTAGTGCGTGGATATGTGCGCTATATAAATATCCTATAATAAATATAACCTTACATTGGTTACACTCACTTTGGTTGTCAGTCCAGATTTGAGGAGGTCATTATGCGACGATGTCGCATTGGCCATACAAGGTATACTCACAAATACTTGTTGAAAGGTGAAGATCCTTCGTTTTGTATCCCTTGTGATGAGAGAGTCACAGTCAAGTATCTCCTGCTTGACTGTGTCGAATTCTCCATCATAAGGGATAAATATTTCAATGTTAAAACTGTTAAGGATCTTTTTAACACTGTTCATGTTCATTTAATTCTTGTTTTTTTAAAAGAAATTGATTTGATTAATGATTTTTGATTAATATGTTCTGTAAATAGATGTATTTTAATGATTGGTAGTTTAGATTGTTAACTTAGATTGTTAGTGGCTGTACCCTCAAAGGGGGTTAAAGTACCGTAAAATTATTGTCCTCCAGAGAGGGTACGTAAGTCCCAAAACTTTCAAAGTAAAAATATAAATTATCACATTTTAAACGTAGTATTTTTGTTATTTTAACTGTTGGCTAAATTGTCCTACAATCGCCAGCGGCTGAAGGGATGGTGTAAATCCAGCTACGATCCATGCAGGTAGCAAAAGTAATGTAAGTCCCCATGGCTCCTAGTATGGTGATCTACCTTCAGTTGTTGGCGATCTATAGCCCATTTTTATATTGTGTTGTCCCCTATAGTTAAAATGTTTTAGATTCAATTACTAGTTTTACATATATATCTGTGATACTTTAGTTGCTTTACTGTCCTTTGTCGGCAGGTTTTATAATCTCTTTATATATATTATTTCAATGTCAAGTGTTCTCATCACGATATGGCTGAAATATTGCCGATGTGACGTTAAATAATAACTCACTCACTCACCCAGTCATCCCCGAAACCTGCCAGGGAAATCAGGTGTGATTAGCACTAATTAGTCTCGGCACAGTGAGTTGGGCAATCAACGACGGGTTCCAGGTGTTTTGTTTTTGTTTTTTTTTATTCATTCAAAATCAGTAGATACAAATATACAAAGTACATGATGCAACAGAACTTGTACACAGAAAACAGAAATAATAAAACAGAAAGTGATATGGGTTGGCATTACACATATTGGAATCTTCATTAAGCTGGGAATGTGTGCAATAGAGATGACCATTTTCTGTCAAATTGTAATACTTAAAATGGTAATGAATGGAAACTTGATCTCGTCACTATATGGCTGAAATAATGCCGATGTGACGTAAAGCCCTACTCAACTCAACTCAAATTGTAAAATGTTTTGATTTTTAGTGGCAATAAACCTTTCTGTCTTGAAAATATCACTCAATATTTTTACAAATGTATTCAGTGATAACTTATCTTTTTTCATACTTGATACATGGATGGATTTTTTACTGGCAAGAAGTATGTGGTTCATAAGGTCGTTATTATTTCCGACAATTAAGACTGTATATTTTGTTGGGGTAAAATTTTCTGATGATTTATCTTTAATACATTCTTTCACTTTCAACCAGAACGTTTTCACATTCCGAATAAATGTGTATCAAATTTTCTGACATTAAATTACAAAATTAGCAAAGTTCATCATATACTAATTTCATTCTGAATAATTCTTTTTTTGTGTAGACAATATTGTGGATAAATTTATACTGGAAGTCAATCAATTTAGTATCCTTTGTACATCTTCTATAGTTTTTGAAAATATCTTGCCAAGAAATTACAATATCAAAGATATTTTGACATATTTCACATCTTCAAGGTAGGTTTTCAGTAGCTATAAATTTATCTTAGAAATATCTGGATCTCTTTGGTGCTGAAAGTAAACCTATCAGTGATGTGTTAAGATAATGATTATGAACAATCAATAAATTATTTCTTATAGTATCTTTCCATTTTGGGGGTATATTTGAAAGAACTGATAATAGTCAAGAATTGTGCCA